CTTGAGCCACAGCGCCACTTCCGGTTTTTTCTTTTTGCTTATGTGGTGCTAAGGAATCAAACCCAGGGCCTCAGGCTTGCAAGACAAGCGCTCTTCCACTGAACCACCTTCCCAGCCCCTCTCCTTACTTCTTAAGTTTGAAATACACTTTGTAAAAGACATCTGTCCTTCCAAAGTTATTACCTTCTAAGTTCTTCTCCCCACCCCACCCCCAAGTCATGGGGCTTGAACTTGGTGGCCTAAGTGCTGTCCCTGAGCTCTTTGTATTCAGGCTAGCATTCTATCACTTTAAGCCACAGCTCCACTTCTGGTTTTCTAAGTAGTTTATTAGAAATAAGAGTCTCATGAACTTTCCTGCCCAGGCTGACTTTGAACTATGATCCTCAGATCTCAGCCTCCTGAGTAGCTAGAATTAAAGGTCTAGCCACCGGTGCCAGGCTCTACCTTCCAAGTTCTTAAAGATTATGAAGACCTAAAGAAACATAGGGGTTTCTTAGGGCAATGTTACAACTTATGTATTGTCTAAAGCCAGACATAGATTTTAAAAAGACAATAATCATACTTCATTAAAAATAAAACATGGGGGAGGGGAGGTCAGGAGGGAAAAACTGGGAGAAAAGTAAATGAGGGAAGGGGTGAAACTGTTCAAAAAGAAATGTACTCAGCCAGGCGCAGGCAGCTCACGCCTTTAAGTCTGTGAGACTCTTATCTCCACTAAAACCACTAGAAAACCAGAAGTGGCACTGTGGCTCAAGTGGTAGAGCACTCACCTGGAGCTGAAGAGTGCAAGGACAATGCCCAAGCCCAGAGTTCAAGCCCCACGACTGACCAAAAAAAAAAAAAAGTACTTATTACCTAACTTATATAACTGTAACCCCTCTGTATATTACCTTTACAATATAAAAAAAAATTTAAACCTCATTAAGAACTGGAGGTAAGGGTGGGGAGGGAAGAGTTGGGGAAGTGGAGAGGGAAGGGATGATAGGGGGAAAACAAAGGAGGAGGTAACAATGCTCGATAGGAAATGTACTTATTACCTTACTCATGTAAGTGTACAGTATTTTTACAATAAAAACACATAAAAAAGAAAAAGAACTGGAGGTTAAAAAAAAAGATGAAGAACAAAAAAATAAAATAAGAACTGGAGGTATATGTAGTTCAGAGGTACAGTAATGCTTAACAATCCCAAACCCTGGGTTCCACCCCTAGCAACACAAGGGGAAAAAGAGAGAGAGAGAGAGAAACATTTAAGCATAGGAAAGTGAAAAAAAGTCATTGTGAGTAATAAGGAATAACACACTTAAACTTAAAAAAATACATGAGTAAGTCTATGGGGAAAATCCCTCCATCACTGACCAGTGACATTTTGCCAAATGACTTCAGACCTTGTACTAAATCTCAACAATAACAGAATTTGAAAAACAATTTAGGCAGGGGGAGATTGGGGGGGGGGTGTGGGGAGGCTGGGAAGGGATGGGAAGGGGAAACAAAGAAGGAGGCTACAATGCTTGATAAGAAATTTTCACAATAAAAATAAATAAAAATAAAAAAAAACAATTTCGATATTGTATTGCCGTCTCCAAGACAATTTAGTTCCAGAGGGCCCTTCAAATACACAACCTAATGCATGCTGAGTGCATACCTCTTCTATAGAAGTCACACACTAAAAAAAAAAAAAAGCCAGGTGCCAGTGGCTCACACTTGTAGTCCTAGCTACTCAGAAGGCTGAGATGTGAGGATCGCAGTTCAAAGCCAGCCTCATCAGGAAAGTCCATGAGATTCTTATGTCCAATTTACCAACAGAAAACCAGAAGTGGAGCTGTGGCTCAAAGTGGTAGAGTGTTAGCCTTAAGTGAAAAACTTAAGCAGTGCCCAGGCCCTGAGTTCAAGCCTCATGACCAACAAGAGTGAATATATATATATATATATATATATATATATATATATATATATATAATAAAATATGGTCTTCTATAAATGATACATTCTTTGGAATATAACAAAGGGAAAGAGGTTTGTATAACTGAATGACACAAAGGAGAATAGCTTCGGACAAGAAAAACTATGTCTAGCTGTAGAGCAGCAACTCTCACATTATTAGAAAAACAAGTATGTGACCTCACATAGATCACCTCATAAAGTCCTGTCAGAGACAGAAAAAGTGAAGTACTAAAAATAAAGGGTTCTGGGGAGCGAAGAAAAAGCAAAGGTGAGCGAATGACAGGTGGAGGGGGAAGGGAGGAGGCCAGGGAGGTGGGGATGGTGGACAGGAAAGAAGGAAGGAATAACTGGCTCAAATGGATACTTGTCTGAAGACACAAAGGAGGATCTCAGCTAAGAGACAAAAAGAGAAGTGTTAGGGGCGAAGAGGAGGCAAGAAATGGGGAGAAATTTCGGTGCCTCCAAAAGATCTCAGTCAAGAGCAAAGCTTGTGAGGAAGCATGTAAGATCGTGGCAGTCACTTTCTCTTGGAGTGGGGGTGGGGGTGGGGTCCCGAGGCCAGGGGATGGAGATAAATTCCCCACAGGAGAGGGCGCTACTTGGGTGGATAGGAGGAGGACAAAAAGGCAGGCTTTGGGGGCAGCTCGGAGGCCGAGGGTCGCCAGCTGATGGGGGTGTCAGGATCGGAGACCCACGGTGGCAGAGAGGTGGGGGTCGGGGTAAGGAGGCTGACGGCGGCAGACACTGGTGGAGGTCAGGGTCGGAAGGCCGAGGGCAGCGTACAGAGGAGAGGGTCGGGGAAAGGAGGTCAAGGGGGGCGGGAAAAGGTGGGGGGGGTTGGGGTCAGAGGCCGAGGCGCGTCGGACAGAGGTGGAGGTCGGGGTCGGATGCCGAGGGTGGCGGACAGAGGTGGGGATGGGGTGTGGAGGCCGAGGGTAGCGGACAGGGGTGGGGGTCCGGCAGGGCGGAGCGGAGCCCGGGGCGCCATCCCGGGCGGGGGCGGGGCGGGGCCACCGGGGTTTCTGTGGTGTCCGTGAAGCCCGAGAGGCTGCCGAGACCCACACCTCGCCCCACGGCCCGCCCTCCCCACGCCCTCTACCTGTCCCCGCGAGTCTCTCTGGTCCTCTCGTCGTGGTCGCCGGCGCGGCCTCCCGGAGCCTGCCCGCAGGTTGTCAAGCGTCCATGATCAGCCCGGCGTCCGGCGCTTTTCTACCTCCGCCGCCCCGTCGCCGGGGTGGCTCCCCCGGAACCTGCACGCGCTGCACTCGAGTTCCGCGCGCACAAGGTTCCCGGGGGGGGGGGAGAGCGAGCGCGCGCGCGAGCGACACCGCGAGACAGCAGGGGGTCGGGCCCAGCTGCCGTCTGCGGGCTGGGTGGAGAAGCCAGTGAGGAGGGGACCCAGAAGGATGGGGCCCAGGCGATCCCGGGGGCCTAACCGAGGCTGTCGTAACCATCCAGGGCCCTAAACCCATTCTCGGAGCTTTATCCTTGGAGCTGCCGATGGAAAGTACGGCTCCTCCCGGTACAGAGAAACGTGAGGCCTAGAAACAAGCAGCATTGTACATAGGGGTATAAATACAACAAATCAGATCATCAGTACAATGCCTCTCGATCAGTGTCACTCCTTCTATTGTTCTGCTGAAACCAAGGAGCATGTTCTTTTTTTTTTTCTTCTTTGTACCAGTCCTGGGGCTTGAACTCTGGGCCTGGGCACTGTCCCTGAGCGCCTTTTGTTCAAGGCTAGTGCACTCCTCCACTTGAGCCACAGCTCCACTTCCAGCTCTTTTAGTGGAGATAAGAGTCTCACAAACGTTTCTGCCTGGGCTGGTTTTGAACCACAATCCTCATATCTCAGCCTCTTGAGTACCTAGGATTACAAGCCCACCTGAAATGTGCCTACAGCTGTGACTTTTTGCTAGTTAATTGGAGATGAAAGTCTCCATATTTGTCTCTCCAGATTGTCCTCAACCCTGGATTCTCAGATCTCAGCTTCTTAGTAGCTGGGATTATAGGCATGAGTTGCGCCAACAATGGTTCTTAGAATTGCACTGGATGCCAGCTAACTGCCCTGGAAAGATGATTAAGAAATGCCACATAATTGTATAAACTGATTTCTTTATAGCCACAGACATTTAAGTCTTGAAGACAAGGAAAAGAGCCCTATTTACCTACTGAGCAGTAGAATGTGAAATCCAACACTCGGATGCTTAGGAGCTTCACATCAATCAAATCATTTCTTAAAAAAATACTTTTAACATCTGTAATGTTCTAGTTAGTGTTGGATAAAACACAATTCTTGATAAAACAAAGGTTTTTTTTCCCCTCAAGAAGCTCCAGTGGGGGGCTGGGAAGGTGGCTCAGTGGTAGAGTGCTTACATTGCTTGTATGAGGCCCTGGGTTCGATTCCTCAGCACCACATAAGCAGGAAAAGCCAAAAGTGATGCTGTGGCTCAAGTGGTAGAGCACTAGCCTAGAGCTGAAGAGCTGAGGGACAGCGCCCAGGCCCAGAGTTCAGGCCCCATGATGGACCAAAAAAA